GAGGGGAGGGGCCGGAGGCACCGCGGTGTCAGTGAACCCCCCAACCAGCCTCCTGTGCTGCCAGTCCCCTCGGCGCCCCCGTCCCGAGCGGGGAATCCGCCTGTTGCCGGCGCCTGTTGCGCGGTGCCGACGCGGACGGCGGCGGTGACGGGGGACACCTGCGCGGGGCCGGGACCACCCGCTCGTTTCGCAGAGGTCACCCGGCAGATGTGACTGTTGGTCACTGGAGAGGAGCCAACAGCAGGAGATAAAAGGCTCCCCGGCTGTTTAATGCACCGCTCCGCGACACCCCGCGATGCGGGTGTTGGTGACAGCTTTTGAAAGCTCCTGGCTGGCTGTTGGGGCAGCGCTGCCGCTCCGTGGGGCAGTGTCGCTGTCAATGTGTTGGGGGACTAATTGCAGCCAATTAAGGCTCGTTTTGTGGCCTCCTCCTCCCTCGTGGCTCTGCTTTTGGCACCGAGGCCGCCTCACGGCGCAGGCCCCATCGCTTTGTAGTTCCCTAGAAGTCCCTGGATCCAGCGCTTGTTTCCATGCGCACAATAATCGCGGGATGGGGGTTAACCAGACGTCCCCGACGGTCCTCTCGGATTTGGGATAACAACCGGGCTCCTGGCATGCCGGGAGGCGCAAGCTGAGCCCTCTGTGTCCCATCTGGGACTTGGCTTCACATATACCAAGGAGAAACTTCCCTGTGGATTCGAGGAGCGCGTGGAGCAGCAGCTCCTCTTGGAAGCTCGCTCCAAACTCGCCGAGCTTTGCAGCCCTCGCCTACCCCGTTCGGTAAGAGCGCAGGCCCCGCTCGCTTCCCTCGCCCACAACGTCGGCCTTGATTTATTTTTTATCAGATAATATCTTTTGTGTTGCAAAGTCTCCAAGCTCGACCTCGCTGCCAAGCTGCACAATAAAATCCGTGTGTGATTCGCGGAGCAGATGTGCGGGGAGGCCGCGTCCAGCTCCGGGAGAGGGGAGCAGCTGGAGGGACATGAAAGCGGCCGCTTCCCCGTCCCACGGAGCGGGACGCGGTGCAGCCGGAGGGCCGGGAGCAGGGATGGAGCTCCCTGCACGCGCTGGCCAAGGCAGCCGCATCTCCCGGCTGGAATTCGCCCGGAGCCCGCGGCGTTTTGGGAGCGCTGGGCCGGGAAGCGCTCGGATCTCTCTCGGAGGGGCCTTGCCCGTTGCAGCCTCTCAAAGCGCGGGGCTTGTTTACTTCTCGGCTATCGGGTTTCCTGCAGGAAGGCCGGCAACTGCCAAGGTTTTTATTGGATCCCCCTGAAAGGAATTGCGAGAGCCTCGTGCTTGTTGTCTTTGCTGCGTCGGCAGCGGTGAGGGGGATTTTTACCTTTGAATGAGGCCGAGGGGTGCAGGGATTTGGCACGTGGCACCAGCAGCTCCATAGTGATGCTGTAGTTTCCAATGGGTTTCCTTGTTGTCTCACCCTCCGGAGCGTCTCCGAAGGGATCGTGGCTGCTGTTTGTCTGGGAACGCTCGGAGCGCACGTTGGAAGCGCTTGAAAGGGCCGGAGCTCCACAGGGCTCCGTGTGGGAAGCGTCCTTGGAGCTGCCCTCGTTCTAGCCCCGTGGGTTGGGGGATTTCACGTTTGTTAGTGGCTTGGACAAGGGTTCGACTGTTCTCGGAGGTGATTTTATAGGAGACCTGAAATTCCAAAGCCCACGAGCAGGGACTCGAGCGCTTCGATGTGTCGAGCGAAGGGCCCTGACGGCCCTTGGATGCTGCCAACACGGAGCAACGAGCAGGGCTCGAGGTTGGGGCCGGGTCCCATCCCAGCCCATGCACGAGGAGCCCTTTAGTGCCGGGGTTTCCTAGGGCCCCTCCGGAGCGCGGTTATGGAATCCCTGGAAAACGAGACCCCTTCCCTCCCGCGCGCTCCGGCCGGATGCGCCGCACAAGCGGTTTCCTGTTGCTCTTCCCGCTTCTCCTGCAGGATCCGGGCCCGGCATCCTGCAGCAGCGAGCGGTGGGAATTTTCCTCACCGAAACGGGGGGGAAACGCTCGG